GTGTCATAAACTACATATATCTCAAGAAAAAATGTTTAGTATCGGAAAATACATGTACGCGTGCCTCTTCGATACTTGGGGTTATTTGTGTTAGGATTAGGACAGGCAACCCTCAACTCTAGATCTATCCTCGGCCCTTCGATCCTACAAATAGTAGCGAACATATTCTATGTTCGGGCACAGCGCACAGGATCTCGTTTTGGTACGTAAATAAAAATATATACCCGCTATATGTATTCTCTACTTACATATAGGGGTATATATCTATTTTTCTGATTTACTGATCAATAACGAGTTCCTGTGGCGCATCGGTTCCGCTCTTTTCCGAAAATGACCAACTCCATATTCATCATGTGACAATGATAATTTTTGAACAAAACAAATTTCCAGCTAATTGTGTCAGTGTTACATTCTATTCTACTATCTTTGTTTAGCAACATTGCTCGAATGCTATTTTCATAATTTTTGGCACTCACCCAATTTGGATAAGGGAAGCAACTGTTATTGCCCAGGGTTTGATAATTATCTATGCAAAGTATATAGTCTATTTCAGAAAATATACTTGTAGTTCCGTTTACTGTTGGGTTGTACTATCCATCAATAAGTTATGGTGAATCAGTGATAATGTGATTGATTGAATATTTATGAATAGTTTCTGATCACGTTAGTTATGCCTCAGAATGTGTGAATTAAGACATGGTATACCAACTCCGAGCAGACCTGTCATTGTTTCATCCCTTTGATGCAGAGCGCCAGGCAGGATAACAACAAATACCTTCTATTAACGTCTATTGGCATGGTGTGGCCAGGGGATCAAACTACTGACTTTCAGTTCTCATGGCAAACGCTCTATCCACTAGACCACAGATGCGGTCTGGTGCAGTACTTCCAGTGGTGAACGCTTAGTGAATGCTTAGTGACCGCTTAGTGAGCAGACTGACAAACTGAGTTACTTGGGGCTTTAATTAATTGGAAACCTTTGTAAATAACAACTGCTTATGATGTAGCTTGTGGTGAAGGGCATTCACTCTTGAAGAAGATGGTGGCCACAGGTGTCCCAGTTGTCTAAGCTGCCACGATTCGCTGTGCAGAGTTGCATCCCTTGGGCACGCCAGAAACCTATGATTGTGTGTTCGAATCCCAGTTCGCCACAGTTATGTTTCAAGGTTTGTCAGTACCATATCTGTGCTCGTCTGAGACCTGCATCACTTCAGGCTTTCCTCCCACATTAAGCTGACACGCTGCGATATAACTGTAATACTGTTAAAAGCTGTGTTAAACCCAACTCACTCACTCAAAGAAGATGGAGCCTAGATAACGGGTCTATGTCACCAACAGTAATATTGTAAAAGTTATCAAGCAGTTCAATGGTTGCCATTGGTAACTGACGTATTGAATTTAAGTCCTATAGTGACGAGTAAGTGAAAATCAGTGTGTCATACATCTTCTTGTTGGCACACTTCATCAAAAGAATGCGACCGCTGGCCCCTAGTCAATAATGCGACTCAATATGAATGCAACAGCCCCCTCCTCTCAAGACTCAGTGGATTTATATCTAAAGAAAATGTCCTCTGTCAGGTTTACAGGAGAATCCTCACCTCATCCAACCTTACATTATTCCAATCACACACCAAATAGCACCGCTCATTAGCACTGTTTAGAGTACTTCCGCTAAAAATACATGCGCGCTGGCTCGTGTCGGCCTTTGACGCAGTCGCAAAGATCCAATACACTGTATTGCCTGGGTGGCGTCTGTCTACACTTGCAGGTGTGATCACTGATGACCTAAGTGTAGAACTCTTGTCTTGACCCCAGTGTGACAATTCACAGGATGTAATTAGTGTTTGAATGGCATAGTTTATATACTTGTTACAAGTGCTGTTCAATAAACAGTGATGTGGAATACATAGTTGTTTGTTTTCAGCGTATGTCTGAGTTGGTATTTCTGCTATCTAAAATGTCTTATTGTTGATATAAATGCGTTGTTTAATAATGCCAGCAAAGACCACTCTCATTTTTTGCATTTAATTCACGCTCGCATTAATTTCAAGATTTACAGTATTCTTTTCTACAATATACTTGTTTGTATTAGAACTTTGATTTCAGAGAGTTTGTTTTGAAGACATTAACCTCAAATTGACAGTGATTACATTTTCTATCTGGTTCCGTTGTTTCATGTTGACAAAGAAAATCTTTATAAGTAACAAAACTGGTTACTGGTCTAAAACAAAAATTGAAAACTTTTTAATGGTGGTAAAATTACACACACACACACCCCTAAAATATGACCCTCCATTATCTGATTATTGAGAAGTTGAAATAAGAAACCCATACATTTACTTTTTGGCCAAACTGTATTTCTCTTGTTTCCAGTCTCGTATGTCTAAAATGGGTCCAGTACATCATCGAGAGATAGATGACGATACTGTCACAGAAGGAATTGAAGGGAGCATTATTGACTCGACGCCAAGCATTTCCAGATGCTCCACACCAGATAATGAAGATGACTTGTGCATTGTTCGACAGAACAGCATCTATACTGGTCAACACAAGGCAGGCAGAAAGGAACAAGATTCAGGTAAACCATCAGCTTTGTGATCTTTTTTTGTCCTGATGTTGAAGTAAGGAAATCTTGTAATGTTGTTAAAGTGTGTGCATGGGGCTATGTTAGGAATTGGTTGATATTGTAAAGTTGATCACAGAGTACAAGAGTTTTGCTAACATGAGTTAATAAGGTTCACTATTGAAAACAAGGGATAACTATTTCAAAGTTTCATCAATCAAGGATCTTTTTAACATAAACTCTCATTTAATCATTGATATTTTAAAAGAAATTGAATTGCTTAATAAATTTTGATGTAGAAAGTTATATATTTTATAAATTGGTACTATATATTTATGAACTGAGATTGTTAGTGGTTGTACCCTTGATGGGGGTTGAAGTAGCGTAAAATTATTGTCCCCCTGAGAGGATGCGTAAGCCCACTTCATTCAAAGTAATTCATATATGCCAGGTTTTTAATCGTAGAATGATTGTTTGTTTTAATTTTGGTTAAATTTCTCCACACTCACCAATAACTGAAGGGTTGGTGTAAATCCTGCCGGGGTCCATGCAGGTAGCAAAAGTACTGTAAGCCCCCGTGGTCCCTGGTATGGTGGCCTACCTTTATTTGTTGGTGTTCAATAGCCTGTTTTTATGATGTGTCGTCTGTCATAATCCAATCATTTTATTGTTCTAAAACTAGTTTTAAAGTTATAATCTGTGATATCTTGCTAGTTGTTGTACTGTCCTTTGACAAGTTGTTTTCTATAAGCTATACCTTGTTCGAGTCACGATATGGCTGAAATATTGCCGCTGTGACTTTAAATAATAACTCACTCACTCACTCACTATTGAAAAACCTATTGTCAGGTTTCTCACAAAAACTGGGGGCGGTCGGGTAGCCTGGTGGTTAAAGCGTTCGCTCGTCACGCTGAAGACCCGTGTTCGATTCCAGACATGGGTACAATGTGTGAAGCCCATTTCTGGTGTCCCCCACCGTGATATTGCTGGAATATTGCTAAAAGCGGCGTAAAACCATACTCACTCACTCACTCACTCACACAAACTGATTTCTTTTCCCTGTTGGAACTGTCTTCACAAACATCTTCTAAGAACGTCAGTTAAGGTCGGTCTATTTTCAAGCATTACCATTAACTTTTTAAAACCTACCAAATCACCTTTTTTTAAACATTTTAAACCGATCGTTGCGTAAAAGGTCTCACAAAACAGGTGAAAAGAACAAGATCTGAAGTTCCAATTACTTGAACTTCCAAGTATCTTATCGTGGGTTTCACCGAAGTGGTAAACGTCTGAGACCTGCATCACTTCGGGCTTTCCTCCCACATTAAGCTGACACGCCCTGATATAACTGAAATACTGTTAAAAGCAGCGTTAAACCCAACTCACTCACTCACAAACTCCAAGTATCGTTGATAACAATTTAATTTCGGTTTCTTAAATCATGCCAATTTAATGTGCAAAAAAGTGACCTTATCACACCTTGGCATATACCAACTACCTGCCAAGGAACCCATGGGTTTCTGGGTACAATTGTTGGTCCCCAGCAGCCTATGCTTGTCGTAAGAATCATTACAAAACTCAATCAGTTGGTTTGGCTCTGTAACTTGGTATATTGCATGTCATCAGATTCCACCATCATATAGCTAGAATATTGCTGAGTGTGGTGTTAAACAACAACAAAATAAACCTGGCTCCTGTGTACAGTGAGATTTACAGGTTACTAAGTGCAGGTCTAGACGAACCAGTCGTTGACATCATGAGCAATGATATGTGTGACCAACCATGAGCTAAAGGACCTTCTTGGATAAAATCATTTGACTTCTTAATATACTTTAAAACTACTAGTATCTTAGTACACTAAAAATACAATTCATAAGCTTAAATTCATATTTATTACAGAGATACATCATGTACGTAGCATCAAACATTTTGACTCATTTTCCATAAAGTCCCATATTCAGACTTATAACTGTTTTATATAATACATTTTTTAGATATACCGTATTCGACGTAATAAGCGCCCCGCTCTAATAAGCGCCCACATCGATATTTGCTAATATATTGGCTCGTGAACAATCCCAATTAACACCCTTTCCGATTGATCAATGTACACAATACTTATTTATTCGCGTATAATATGCACTCGTGTGTTATATGCACCCTTAATTATGGGCAATTAAATTCTGGAAAAATATATCTCTCGTATATAAACATTTCAGGCTGTCAGCGTAAACCACGGAATTTATCTTTCAACTATGTGTTTTTTTGACAAAATAATATTCTGATAAGAGCCCCCTATTTCTAATTTTGAGAGCAGCCTGGGCGCTTATTACATCGAATACGGTAATGTCTGATTTATTGAACGTAGACATCTATGCTAAAATGTTTTGAAATAATGTTTTTATTATGTTACAAACTTACAAGAGAGAAATAAGATATTTTTGTACAGTCCACACACATTGGCATTTTTTATGTGAAACAAAAATATCATCTTTGTATATGTTTAAGTATTTCATGGCCATGTCAAATGTCTAAGATCTGGTTATGCTTGGGACTGGCCTTTCACGTGGGCAAACTGCATGTAACGGATTAAGTGGGCTCACGTTGTAAGCTTGGTGGCCTGGAGCACATTGTCGCATTGAGTATAGCCTTGGGGACTCAGGCTCACCGTCATTGGCTGCTGGCCTTAAGCTGCTCGTAAATATTGTTTCTCTGAAGCACAAACATGGGGATCGAAAAATGTGCAGTGATAAAACATTGAGTCTTGCTTGGCATGATGAAGTCTGACCGTGAACTTCAGGCAGTGGGGATCTGGCCAGTGAGGTCTCAGTTTATGTGAGCAGCTAGTGCCAGTGCGAGCTTTGAGGATGACGACCGAGTTTTCTTCTGACAAGTTCAGTGTGAAAAGAAGATCATCTGGAGGAGATATTGGGAGACAATTGTGAATTTGAAAATCTCCTTTGGGAAAATTGGATGGTCTAAAATTAAATAGGTTACAGATTTTTCTTAGACTTTTAGGATATTTTGGAAGAGCGTTGACATGGATGTCATTGTTGCAGTGATATGTTGCTTGACCCGATGGAATACAGACTGTGATTATGTGAAGAAAGAGTTTTCTTACATGTCATTGCAAATATGTTGAGCAGAGTTGGGAAAAGGATGAACCTGTTGGATTCTATTATTTAAACAGTTTCTGTTCTGGAAGGATAAGTAAAAATCATTATGATTTGTCTATGTTTGTGTTGATTGCTGCCATGTAATTTAAGGCTGAAACAGTATGTACTAACATTGTACCAAGTCGTCAAGCAGAAACAGCTGTCTACCACTATATACAGTACAGGGGGATAATCTGTGGAAGATATCTGAGGACTGTTGAGACAGTTACAATGAAAGTTGAACTTGCTGAGGCGGACACGACGACTCCTAAGCATGGGACTGCTATCAATGTCCAGCAGTTTGTGGATATTGTCCAAAGTGTGATGTTGCCAGGGATCGAGGCTGTGTGTGCGTCGGATGACAAAGGTCCCCAACACAGGCCAGGAGGTGGTAGCTTTGAACCTTCATTATTCACTGTTGCAAAATGCTTTGTTGTTTTGAAGTACCAGTAGGTGTTGGGCAATGGCCATTTCAAGTAGCTTGAGCGGGCACGGGTGGCCAAGTCGTCTAAGGCGCCGCAATTCGCTGTGCAGAGTTGCGTCCCTTGGGCACGCCAGAAACCTATGATTGTGGGTTCGAATCTCGGGTTCGCCCTGATTATGTTTCTAGGTTTGTCAGCACCATAACCGTGCTCGTGGGTTTCACCGAAGTGGTAAACGTCTGAGACCTGCTTCAATTCGGGCTTTCCTCCCACATTAAGCTGACACGCCGCGATATAACTGGAATACTGTTAAAAGCGGTGTTAAACCAAACTCACTCACTCATGTAGCTTGTAATGAACTTTGTTCTTTTTGCTTAAAATGTTTATCAGTATGGGTTATTGTGGAAATATTTTGTGAGTAGGGTTTGGAATGTGATTGTGAATTTGATATTTGATTGTAAGTAGGGTTGTTGTTTAGTTATCAGTGTGGTTGTAAGTCTGGTTATTTGCAAAGTTCTGATTGGTTTTATTCAGTATCTGACAGTACATCCGCTAGTTCCAAGATCCATACATCGCTACAGATGTTGTAAGCATGGTAAGGGAGGTAATCCATCTGCTAGTCTCAAGATTCATACATTGCTACAGTTGTTAGGGAGGTAATACATCTGCTAGTTCCAAGATTCATAAATTGCTACAGATGTTGTAAGCATGGTAAGGGAGGTAATCCATCTGCTAGTTCCAAGATTCATAAATTGCTACAGATGTTGTAAGCATGGTAAGGGAGGTAATCCATCTGCTAGTCTCAAGATTCATACATTGCTACAGTTGTTAGGGAGGTAATACATCTGCTAGTTCCAAGATTCATAAATTGCTACAGATGTTGGTAGGGAGGTAATACTTGTCTTTCAAATTGTTGGTCACCATAATGTAGGCTTGTGTTAATACCTGGTCCGGGGCGGTGGGGCTAGCCTCGTGGTTAAAGTGTTTGCTCGTCACACCAAAGATCTGGGTTCGATTCCCGTCATGGGTACAGTGTGTGAAGCCAATTTCTGGTGTCCCCGGCTGTGATATTGCTAGAATATTGCTAATAGCGGCGTAAAACCAAAATCACTCACTCGCTCACTAATCATGCTAATACATGGTCGAGTACTTAAAGTCGCCCTCATAATGATTTCCGGTCGATCAACACTATTCCACATGAACACACTAAAGTCTGAGGTAGACACCATTTGTCAAATTTGACTAATCCACAGCTCATTTCTGATTTTGGGTTATGTACAATAACTAGTTCTTGGCGTAAAACAACTAGTCAGTCCAGATTGTTTCAAGTCTCGGAGTAACAGAATAGTGGCCGTGTCTACAGACTACACCATTTTTGTCTTTCCTCAACATAATCATGATAATAAGGTCATGCGTCATCATTACTTTACTGGTATTTTCTATTTTGTTGGTTCAGTGCAAGCAGAGATAATGCTGTTAAGCCATTGTGACTTGTTTGAAAATGTGATGCAACTATGTCTGAGAAGTTACGGAATCCCCACCAAGTCATGTTTATCTGAATGTATCTAGTGATTTCCAAAGTTACCCAACACCAGTCTGTGACTTTTGCTGTTAGGCTGTGGAAGCACAGGTCCAGTAAAGTCTATTTTGGTCTGGTAAGCTTTTGTTCCAACCATGTTAGTTCTTTTGGGGAAGATGTCCAGTTTTGTTTTTTGTTCTGCCACAAAGTGGCACCCATAATGATTTATTCCCAGAGCATAACTCGGAAACTGTTTGATATTTTATTATGAAACTTTGCATTTGTATGAAACACCTGCTGAACTGGTGCTTTTGGTGTTTTGGTATTTTTAAATTAATATTTTTTTGTTTCCTTTGCAAGAAACCGGACTTTATGCTTAAGACTTGTGTGTTTTAGTCTCCTTGGTTTACTTGTGTGGCTGCAATTGGGTCGGGATTTTTTAGAAACTACTGAACTGAATTAATCTTTCCATGCTTATCAAGAGATACTTGACAAGACTGAGTTAACAAATTTATGCCCTATTTTTTCTTCTTCTAGAGTTACCCTCCCTTTCCCCATGTATTTTCAGTACTATATGAACAAACATACTTCTAATGTGCCCAATGGCAGGGGATAGTGATATCTCTGTTTTCTTGTTTTTTTCGGCCACAACTTCAAGACATACACTTTATTTTTCTGAAAGAAAAGTGAAACAACTTTCTTTTTATACAACATGTTGTTTCAGGACATCCAGTTTATCACATGAACATATTTTATTTTATAAACCTTAGACAAACTTATTAATTTTTCAGTATTTCTGGAACATTAAGAAGGACACAGGCCATGAAATGTCAATTGGCTTACATGGCTTATTTAGTCATTGACAAGATGTTTGGTTGACTGTTATGAAAGGTCACCAGATTTAATAAAGGTTTACATGCTTCTGCTGGTGTGCTAAATAACTTATTAAAGAAAAGCAATATACAGTAAACTACGTTTAATGCGAACATGCCTATAACAAACTGACCGATATAACGAACTAACTGATATAACAAACTTAATTTTTAGTCCCTGCCATTTGATGTATTTATGCTGTATATATGATTATAACAGATCTTTTGTTGCCCTTGTATATATACTTGCACATAGTGACACATTGTATTTAGGTTCAATCAAGATTTCATCGACCCGTGAAATTCAGGGGTAAAATAGGTCTTCAGCAACCCATGCTTGCCGTAAAAGGAGACTGTGTCAATCACTGGATCGTCTGGTCCAGACTCGTCTATTTACAGACTGTTGTCATATAGCTGGAATATTGCTGAGTGTGGCGTTAAACAACAAACAAACAAACAAGACTTCATCATGTTGATTCATACGGCCCTGGTGATCTTGGCAACTGCAATCAGACATTTGTTGTCAGTATGGTAAATGTATGATCTTTTTCCTCAGATGCGTGGATGGGATACCATCAAATGGGCTGGCCCAGTCAGGAGTATTCACCTCACCACCCCAGCCGGCAGGTGCTCAACATCCTCCACCAGCAACAGCAGCAGCAACATCAGCAACAGCAGCAGCATCACATGTTGTCTCAATCCTCCTCCTGGCAGAGCCCTACTAGCATGTCCTCCTTACTGCGAGGTGGTGCAGCATTCACTGGAGGGGCAACATCTACAGGTAAGGCCCATAGATTCATTTGTCCGGCTAGTGGTTAAAGTGTTCGCTCGTCACACCGAAGACCCGGGTTCGATTCCCGACATGGGTACAATGTGTGAAGCCCATTTCCGGTGTCCCCCACCGTGATATTGCTGGAATTTTGCTAAAAGCAGCGTAAAACCAAACTCACTCACTCACTCATTTGTCTGGTTTTGTCACTTTGGTCTTTTTGTTGGTGGAAAAACTTTAACCTGCTTTTATGTGAGGAGTGAGTGAGAATGGTTCTACTCCACTTTTAGCGATGGTTACTTACTTTGTAATTCATCGCAGCAGATTTACAAGAGGATGGGGATAAAAGCTATGGTTCAACCCTAGAAAAGGTTTAGGATGGGGGATCCAGATTAAGGTCTGCTAGAACCTGGATGCAAACGTTGGGGGTAGGGGTGGTGGTGGGTGTACTTGATTATTAACAATAGCATGTTGTGTTGGTCACAAGTTTATGGATAATTAGTTTCATGGATAGATTTATTTAATTCCTTCGGAATATCTTACCTCTATTACGTCATACCGTTAATTTCCATTTTAGCTAAACTCACACTTTAAAAATCTTCAGATTTTTAACAGAAATCATCTTCACTGTCAGTTATTTATTGCTGTTGCACAGGAAGCAATATCAAAACTGATCTACTGCGCAGGCGCAAAGTGGAAGTACATCGCTTCTTTTCCGTGTGAGCTTGGGTTTACAAGGAAACTATTTTAACAGTTTTCCATGTTTTTCCAATATTATTGAATTCTTTTCATAAATTCTCGTGGGACCTTTTTGCTATTTTGAATGTTTCCTTCAGACCCATTGCAACTTGTGTTCATATATGCCCTACACAATAAGACAGGTGTACTTATACAACCATTTTTCTCCATAACAGACAACTCCAGCTATCCCAAGGATGATTCTGTTCAGCCTTGCGATGCACAGTCAAGGAGCATGGTATGTGTCAAAAATTAGATGACATATATGTTAAACGTTTGTTTTTTAATTTTTGAGTTTCAAAAGAATTGTTTGTCAGTTTTTGGTGTTTTTTTCAAATACAAAATTGGCTGCTGTATCAAAACTGACACATAATGAAAGGGCGTCATCATTTTGTGCTCAAGTCCGTCTCTCAACACATCCAATGAGATTCGCACCTGAACAATATCATGAGTGTGTTTGATTACCTCAAGCCTAAATACACAGAACAACTTATTTTGATTTTTGTGGCCATTTTGCTAAATATTACAGAAATTCAAGTATGTGTTTTCAAAGTGTTTCAGTATATGTTGAATTTGTTTTCATGACTGAAAATAGTTAGATGTAATATATCGGGTGGGAAGAAATTTATATTAGTAAAACATTCGTTCACATTTGTGAAAATTTAGTGTTTACATAAACCAGGAGATGACAAATAATGCACATAATAAACAGCAGAAGGAGTGTTTGTAAAACAAAACTGCTAAAGATGTTTCTTTATCATGTTTATCAGTATTACCATGATTAACATTTTGCTTAAGGCGAGAGCTTTCCTTCCACATCAACTCACTCAACCCTCACTGATTCACTTACGGCTTTGTGGTTGTAATGTCAGTTTATATCCTCTGTTTCAGAGTGCTGCAAGACGTAGAGCGATACCTCATTCTTCAGGACTTGTGGACCTGCAGAGTCTGCCTGGTACTACAACCCCAGTTACTCGCGTGGCTTGTGTTCCCTTGCCAACCAAGTGTGTGACTGACGCCATTGACATGAACTACCAGGAATTGGACAGCAGTGACCATAGAGGCCGCAGCTTGCTCAAGAGGAAGTATTCACTGAGCAAGTCGGACTCAGCATCCAGTTCCAGTCCAAAGCAGATCCACCTGGATGATTCCATGCAGGCTGAGAAGAAGAAGCGGTTTGCTCGTACAACTGAAGCTTTGAAGAAGCTGGGCTTGTGGGAGATTGCAATGAGGACTGGCGAAATGATTATTCAGAATAGAACACTTCAACAGGAGCTGAACGAACTGAGACAAGAATCTAAACAGCTGATGCTATCTGTGTTGAAAAATCCTGAAAATAACAGTTTCAAGCAAGCTCTTCTCACTATGCAGGCACAATTTTATGCCCGTAAACACAAGTCCTTTGAGAACCACAACATTTCTATCAAGTCTTCATGATTGCCATTGGTCTCTGTTCTGGATTCGTCTCATTTGCATATCATTTGCATATCATTTGCATATCATTACAACCTAATTGGAAGTTTCATGTTATCTAAATCAGTTTTTGTAGCATGTGTGAAAGTCCACCTTTTTAAAATGTGTACAAAAATCTGTTTTGTTAGAATATGTTCAAGTTTGAGATGTACATAATCTTTGAATGTTGTAAATTTTGATTGTATGTATGCTGTTGTGATTTGTTACTAGTCGCAGTCAAGGCACTTGTGTATAGGCTTTATCTCTAAATGTTGTGCTGTTGAGACTTTTCACTGCTTACCAAAGGTTAATTGGTGTATTGTGCACATGGTTTTTCTATTCAATTAGGAATTCAGATTCTTTTTCTTTTTAATTAGGCTTCAAGGCAAATATAATGTTTTCATGTATTATTGGAGAAAAGCAATGCAGCAGTTGGACATGTACATGCATAATCTGTGGTTAGAGTCCCCTCATCCCTTCCCACACCAGTACCCCGCTGTATCAACCCCTCCCATACTAGTACCCAGCTCCATCAACCCCTCCCACACAAGTACCCCTCTGTAACAACCCCTCCCACACAAGTACCCCTCTGTATCAACCCCTCCCACACAAGTACCCCTCTGTAACAACCCCTCCCACACAAGTACCCCTCTGTAACAACCCCTCCCACACAAGTACCCCTCTGTAACATCCCCTCCCACACCAGTACCCCTCTGTATCAACCCCTCCCACACAAGTACCCCTCTGTAACAACCCCTCCCATACTAGTACCCAGCTCCATCAACCCCTCCCACACAAGTACCCCTCTGTAACAACCCCTCCCACACAAGTACCCCTCTGTATCAACCCCTCCCACACAAGTACCCCTCTGTAACATCCCCTCCCACACCAGTACCCCTCTGTAACAACCCCTCCCACACCAGTACCCCTCTGTAACAACCCCTCCCACACCAGTACCCCTCTGTATCAACCCCTCCCACACAAGTACCCCTCTGTAACATCCCCTCCCACACCAGTACCCCTCTGTATCAACCCCTCCCACACAAGTACCCCTCTGTAACAACCCCTCCCACACAAGTACCCCGCTGTAACAACCCCTCCCACACAAGTATCCCGCTGTAACAACCCCTCCCACACAAGTACCCCTCTGTAACAACCCCTCCCACACCAGTACCCCGCTGTAACAACCCCTCCCACACCAGTACCCCTCTGTAACAACCCCTCCCACACAAGTACCCCTCTGTAACAACCCCTCCCACACAAGTACCCCTCTGTAACAACCCCTCCCACACCAGTACCCCTCTGTAACAACCCCTCCCACACCAGTACCCCTCTGTAACAACCCCTCCCACACCAGTACCCCTCTGTAACAACCCCTCCCACACCAGTACCCCTCTGTAACAACCCCTCCCACACAAGTACCCCGCTGTAACAACCCCTCCCACACCTCACCTATCAACCCCTCCCGCACCAGTACCCCGCTGTAACAACCCCTCCCACACCAGTACCCCGCTGTAACAACCCCTCCCACACAGGTACCTCCCCTATCAACCCCTCCCACACAGGTACCTCCCCTATCAACCCCCCCACAGCAGTGACCTCCCCTATCAACCACTCCCACAGCAGTTACCTCCCCCATCAAGGATTGCTGATAGTAAGTCTTCACAGAATAGGATCAGCAATGCCAACATGTCCAATTTTGGAACAGTTCCAAATTCACATTCAGTATCTACTTCTAAATAAGCAGTACCCATTATATCAGCGTTCATACTTCTCTGGACTACATACAGATATAGAAGCATCTTTCTTTATTTCTTTCTGTGTGAAGAAAACACTTGTTTATATCTAGATATAGATATATATCATTCTATGGTAAAGTACATACCAAAACATCGTGAGTTGTATCTTGGGACATTACCATTAAACCTGATCATGTTGGCCTATTGCTCTACTTGGCTTTAGTTGGCCATGATAAATGTTTTGGAAAGTTTGGTGCTTTGACATCCATCATCTCTTAGTAGTGCTGAGGGAGAGACATTATCTCTGTCTGTTACTTTTCAAGAGATTTATGGTAGATGTTTAAACTAGTTGACAACTTTCCTTCATGTGAAAGTCCTAGTGGTATTCCTATTGTAGTATTTGTGATACAACTACCTTAGTTTATTTCTGTTGTGAAGACACACGAGTAGGACTCTAAGCTGTAACAGAATGGCAAAATGTTAGCAAAAATGTAAGTCCTATTGTTATGTGATTTTATACCCAAGGTGACACAGATGGGAGGTCATTCCTGTTAGAGGTCATGTTATTCTGTTGATCATCAATCTATCTTTGCCCTTTGGGACCCTTTTTTGTATGCCCATTTTGACCCTTAACTATCTATTTTAGCGCTTTGGGACCCTTTGTTCTTTATTTCAGCCCTTTGGGACCCTTGTTAGTATCTATATTTGCCCTTTGGGACCCTTAACTATCTATTTCAGCCCTTGGGACCTTTTATTCTCTATTTTAGCCCTTTGGGACCAATTACAATCCTCCTTCATACTGTTTGTGGATCTGCCAAAGGTAGAAAATATGCCATAGATCTGAGCATACCTGTAAAATTGGTTTTCAAAGCTAGTGCTGTAAAGCTTGAGATTAATGTCGTCTTCTTGTCAGTCAATTCATTGGTCGGTCAAAGTTTGTGAAATGTCGTTTGACGTGACCTGTAATCGGATGTCCTCAGATCTTTGGTTAGCGGAAGCGAGAACTAAGATCTGATTTTAATGAGATTGATTAAAGATAGAAATATTCCACAGATCTGAGTATTCCTGACACATTTATATTATGTTTAATTGATGTATTTGAATGTTTCTGATTTATTGTCATGGCTTAAACGCTGCATTTCATTAATCACTCACTCACTCACTCACTTTTTTGTTGTCTAGTGTTTAAGTTTTTGGGCCAGACCAGTTATATTTCTTGTTTTACAGATCTTTAGTCTATTATGCCCATTGTAGGGTCAGGTCAGATATCATGGGGGACAGACCATTTGATATTGGGATATCTGGGATTTTGTTTGGAGACAGCTGCACCTGCAAAACCGGATATATTTTTTTATTCCTAACTATGAGCCTAAGTATTGTTTTCTATAAATATTTTGCCACAATATATTGGGGGGGGGGGGGGGGGGCAGGAAATTTCTGTATTTATTCAACGGGGCTGAAGTTTCAAGCATTTTCTGAGACAGTTTATGATTTCAATTAAATCCTATAGTACTAGGCAAACCCCACCCAATATCAAATGGTCGGCCCTTTAGGGTTTCCTTAGGGCAAAACAACGCCAGTAACATAAATCATTAACAATATTATTTTGATTTCTGTTGATTTTAAAGATTCTTGTTTGTTTCCCTCTTATTACACTGTTAACAGGTTTGAAATATGCATAGTGTAATCAAACTTTAAAAAATATTTCTGCATTTTCAAAAACTATGACTGATCTGATAGACAAGGAAAACTGGTGGCACTAGATTTACCGTCCATCTTGCACGTTGATAGTTCTTCAAAGAACTGATGTAAAAAATGTTGTATTCTGGCATGCAGAATTAAAATATGTCAGGAACATGAATTATGCCACTCAAAATGGTTAACGACAACTGATTCTTTGATATGACTATAGTTAATCCGTCATGCCATGACATGACATGAGAAATTAACTACAGAAATATGAAAGAATTGTGTGGTCCTTGACCTTTTTGAGTAGTATATGTTAGTTCCCCTTTGTCCTTTTTAAGGAATTAATATCCAGTTTTCTCTTTGTTTTTTGTATGTGTTTGGTAATACATTTAATGTAATATTGGTATAGTGAATACTGTTGTCATGTGTAGATTCGGGGACTGTGCCTGAAACTAGACAAAAGCTAGATGATATGTCAAGGGCCACCTCTTGTGGAACAAGGCCCAAAGAGATTGAAAGTGTGGCATCATGCAGATGCAATGGGCTTCTTTGAGGGACAGCTAACAGTTTGTTTCAGTGCTGTTTGATTTTGCTCATTAGGGTAACTGTTATATCCAGGTATTTGAACAAACTGGTTTCTCTGTTGACAATAATGAATAAAACATTTCAGTAAAATGTTCGTTTTTATTGCAGAATATGCTGAACTGAATTTGTGGTGCCTGTGTGTGTATGTGTGTGCATGTGTGTGCGTGCGAGCGAGAGCAAGATCCAGATTCGAGTGTGGAATGCAGTGAGGTCAAAATATTGTTCCTCAAAGAATCCAGATTCGAATGTTGGACTCGAAGGATAAGGAAAGTCTTGCTGGCAGTGGGGCGGTCGGGTAGCCTAGTGGTTAAAGCATTCGGTTCGATTCCGACATGGGTACAATGTGTGAAGCCCATATCTGGCGTCCCCCGCCGTGATATTGCTGTAATATTGCTAAAAGCGGCGTAAAACCATACTCACTCACTCTCTGACAGTGAGGTCAAAAGACTTACGATGACATTCTTGACTTTCGGCTATTTCCCTCGCCATCGTTTCAACATGGTGTTATTGCAATTACATAGCAACGTGCATACGCATGTAAGTGTGGCCAACTGAGATTCTATGCTGCAGTTGAACATGGATTCTCCACGCCTATTATGACTCCCAGCCGTCCTTGTTTATCCCTTAATGCCGAGAACCAGTCAGGGTAACACCTAGTAACATCCTATGACGTCTTTTGGTATGACGGCCAGGGGATGAACCGGCAAACGCTCCATCCACTAATCACGGAGGCGGTCCACACGCCCACACATTGGGTTTGTTGGTTAATTGTTCAACGCCGCACTCAGCAATAGTCCAGCTATATGACGGCGGCCTGTAGATAATCGAGTCTGGACCAGACAATCCAGTGATTGTCATCACAAGCATTGATCCACGCAATTGGGATACGATGACATGCATGGGGGGGGGGGGAATCAACAAACAATCAACAATTTGGTGATATTATTTTTATTGACAGCAACTTTAAATCTATTGTGTCAACAAAAAGGAAAAATAAGTTTCAATGTTTCCATTACTTACATTGATTAATGACCCCAAATGTTGATCATGAAGTGATCATTCACAGCTCAAAAATGTCAGAACTAACGCTGCAAACGTGAACCTTGTGACGTAAGCCTTTGGCGTTCTCTTGTCAGAGATCATATCATTGCTTACCACCAACCCATACATTGTTTTAACGATGCACAGTGTAAAGTTCCTCCTAAATATTTGCATTATCCTTTTTATTATATTTTTGAAGAAAATCATTTATATGTACATGTATGACAAGTTTGACAAGAATATGACACACAATGCCTACAGTGACAAAACTATGGGTTTTAGACAAGCACAATCCACACAAATAGCTATGGGATAGACCGTGAAAAAGCACGAGACAAGAACGTCAGTGCGGAGATTCTGTGATCCCTCAAAACTGACTTCAAGATCAGTGTCCTGTTCAATCTTCAGCATGAGATTACTTTATTTATCACGAGATTACTTCTTTATTATGAGATTACATCTTTATCACGAGATCACTATTTATCGCGAAATTACTTCTTTATCACGAGATCACTGTTTATCGCGAAATAACTTCTTTATCACGAGATAACTATTTATAGTGAAATTACTTCTTTATCACAAGATCACTTTACCGCCAAATTACTTCTTTATCACGAGATCACTCTTTAGCGCGTAATTACTTCTTTATCATAAGATCACTCTTTATCTCGAAATAACTTCTTTATCACGAAATCACTGTTTATCTCGAAATTACTTCTTTATCGCGAGATTACATTTTATCATGAGATTTCTTCTTTATCGCGAGATTACTCTTTATCACGAGATTAGTTCATCAGACAAAACTCCCAATTAGTCCATACACAAATTACAAATTGCAGATATGATCTTTCAAATTTAATATAGCAAAGGCAGATTAACAATATACACTAATATTCCTTTGTTAGTTCCCTGTAAAATACGTGACACTATCTGAAGCTCAACTAGTGGAGCCATTGCCAGTTACAGTTAACACCGAATATAATGAATCGGATGAAACGAATAGACGGATATAACGGACTGATTTTGAAGACCACAGGAGTTGCATACAGAGGTGACTATACATAACAGATAATCATACTAGTATACACTTCAGCTTTGGAAGACAAGAACCATATTCACATTTATTTCTTCAAATTGTATCTTTACAACGATTGATAACTATTCCTTTCAATACCTTCAATTTAAAAAAAAAAAATTATCCATAAATCGGACAAAGTCAATATAAATGGCAAGGGCCCTGTTCTACAAAGCGATCGTAGCGCTATGTCTGTCGTAAGTCTATGTTAAAGAATTGGAGTTACGATCATCTTAGCGCTAAGATCGCTTTGTGGAACGGGGCCCTGCAGGAGTCCATTCCACAAAGCTATCATAGCGCTAAGGCGAGCGTAACTCCCATAGTTTAACATAGACTTACGAATGTCGTTGATACGATCGCTTTGTGGAACGGGGCCTAGGAACTTACATCAAATTTAAGATGGGGCCCGTTTCACAAAGCGATCGTAGCGCTACGACTACCGTAACTCCTATACTTTAACATAGACGTACGACCGTCTTAGCTCTACGATCTCTTTGTGAAACGGGCTCCTGGAACTGTCAGAAGTCTAAGATGCGAGATGGAACATGTGTAGGGTACGGAGGTACAAATAGGAGGCCGCATCATGACACCGAGTTACACAGGGAAATCAGCTGGACGCTGGACGTTACTACAAGGTAGTGCGGTAGATGCATGTCTCTTCCCTGACCTTTATGTGGCATTGGCCAGTTCCGTGAAGATAGCAATGAGATTTTCAAGGCCTTTGAGATACTCGTCCTCGTGGTTTCCCTCCACCCATGGAGTCCGATGGTCGATCTTCACTCCCGCCGGCAGGGCCAGGGTCTTACCGAAATCTATAATCCATATGTTGGCTTTCTCTGAATCGTGCACAAAAAGCAGGGAACTCCCGACCAACTGAAACCGGAGTGAGTGAGTGAGTGAGTGAAGTCAACATATACCAAAGGGCAAGCTTGGCGACTTATCCTATCGTCTGTTATGTTTTATACACATCCACAGCCACACCACCATCAAAACCCACATCTGCACCCACAACGGCATCAACACTCACACCTGCATCCACACAAACACCATCTTCCCGAGGCAAGAGAGTTAACTGACTATAAAAGTCCAGTTTCCACCCTTGCCGAACTTGGCTGGTATTATGGAGTTACATTTTGGCTGGACTAACGAGTCTATACATAGTCCAATCAAAATTGCGCACCGAAATCGAAATCCGGTTCGTAAAGTGTCATGCAGATTTCGGTCGCCTGCGGGAATTGCAAAGCATGTGCACTGCTAACTGGTTGTCAACAGATATTTTCTAAATCTTTTCATGCTTTTAATCAAGATGCTCACGTGTTTTGATGCACTTCGCGATGTAAGATTCGTTTTATCACAATATAGATCTTGATTATTAATCAGATCGTCTTGACTGAGCGCCACCGTTTTGTTTGAAGCAAATGTAAGTGATACGAGAGGTTGAATCTGATTGGTCCATAGGAGAGGCATCGAAAGGACATAACACGTAATAGCCACTGGTGGCGCTACGATCGAGCCCAGGAATTCCAGCCTAGTTCGGCAAGGGTGAAAACTGGACTTTTAAAGTCAGTTAACTGTCTTGCCTCGGGAAGATGCACAAACACATCTACAACACACACAGTCACAGTCCTATCAACACTCACATCCACACGAACAGCCATGGTCTCATTAACGCTCACATCCATACTCACAACGTCATCAACACACACACACCTGCACCCACACAAACACATCTACAACACACACAGTCACAGTCCTATCAACACTCACATCCACACGAACAGCCATGGTCTCATTAACGCTCACATCCATACTCACAACGTCATCAACACACACACACACCTGCACCCACACAAACACACTTACAACACACACAAACACAGTCCTATCAACACTCACATCCACACGAACAGCCATGGTCTCATTAACGCTCACATCCATACTCACAATGTCATCAACACACACACACCTGCACCCACACAAACACACTTACAACACACACAGTCACAGTCCTATCAACACTCACATCCACACGAACAGCCATGGTCTCATTAACGCTCACATCCATACTCACAACGTCATCAACACACACACACCTGCACCCACATAAACACATCTACAACACACACAGTCACAGTCCTATCAACACTCACATCCACACGAACAGCCATGGTCTCATTAACGCTCACATCCATACTCACAACGTCATCAACACACACCTACAACACACACAACCACAGTCCTATCAACACTCACATCCACACGAACAGCCATGGTCTCATTAACGCTCAGTTCCATACTCACAACGACATCGACACACACCTACACCAACTCGCACAGCCACACTTAAATCAACGCTCAGTTCCATACTCACAACGACATCGACACACACCTACACCAACTCGCAAAGCCACACTTAAATCAACGCTCAGTTCCATACTCACAACGACATCGACACACACCTACACCAACTCGCACAGCCACACTCAAATCAACGCTCAGTTCCATACTCACAACGACATCGACACACACCTACACCAACTCGCACAGCCACACTCAAATCAACGCTCAGTTCCATACTCACAACGACATCGACACACACCTACACCAACTCGCACAGCCACACTCAAATCAACGCTCAGTTCCATACTCACAACGACATCGACACACACCTACACCAACTCGCACAGCCACACTCAAATCAACGCTCACATCCATACTCACAACGAAATCTACACTCTCACATCATAACCACATCCACATCCACGTAGTACATGTACACAGCTAAATGATTTAACGATACGCGATTTTTATAATAAAACACTCTGTCATTAACAGTCTTGGATAAGTTTTAGCGTGCGTGAGTATGGTTTTACGCCGCTTTTAGCAATATCACGACAGGGGACACCAGAAATGAGCTTTACACAATGTATTCATGCAGATAATCGTACCCGGGTTTTCGACGTGACGAGCGAATGCTTGACCCACTAGACTACCCCACCACCCCTGATAAGTTTTATAGACGAGAGGTAAGATTACAAGAATGGTAAGATACTTCCGAAAACCTAAAACAACCAATGCCGCACCTCATGCTGACTGAAAAACTCTGACGATTCTTCAGCAGCTTTGATTGCCTCCAGACGCTTAAGGTAGGCCTCCTGTAAATACAAAACACCATCATCGATACGTTATAAATATACAAGCCGAAATCAGTACCCGGCCCGTTAACCCCTCCTACACTAGGCTACTGCCGTGTAATCTCCTCCACGCCAGAACAGAACTTTATTCACTCAAGGCTACAAAGCATAGCATACTGAGGTAATTGTCAGATATCAATATACAGTAATATGGCGACAGATTACACTTATATTAAACATACTGATTACTTGACAGCACAATCTAGAAAGGGAAAAGAATTTATAGATGTCAACTTATTTATTAGGAGGATCACGTTTCGGAGTATATGCTTACTCCTTCATCAGATGAATGAATTACCTGATGAAGGAGTAAACATATACTCCGAGCCGTTGTCTTCCTCATAATAAAGAAGTTAACATCCTTAAATTCTCTTCCTTATGTGTATCACTTCTAAATACCTTTCAAAGACTTGAAAATCCAGAACGTTTTATTTACTATAAGAGTATTTTTACTTTTAAAACAATTTATCATATTGTACATAGAAGGCATCTTTAGACAGTAAAATGGCAATAATTTCTTTCTTATATCGACAAAGCATTCGGAAACAAATAAATAGTGACGATTGTCTCCAATGTCATAAGATTGGAATAAGAAACATTGAAACACTCCCTTCTCTATCAATCCCTGTCCGCCATGTCACCCCCACCCACCTCAAACACACACACCAGTACTTCGCCCTTACCAACCCCCACTCCAGTACCTGGCCGTATCTACCCCTCCCAAATCAGTACAACGCCCCGACCCCCACCCCCACATGCACACACCCGCGCAACAAACACACACACTCACACATCTTACCAAGGCGATCTTATTTCCTCCAAGAAAGAATCTAAACTTCTCTCTCACTTGGTTGCGACGGTTCACTCGTTTGAAGTCCTTACTGGAACTGCCGTCATCTTTCTGCAGGAGACATCCATAAACACTGACATTGTGAACAACGACGCTTTGAATATTTTTGTCATTTATATCACAGCCTGTAGAGTGAATACTTTTTCATTCATATCAAAGCCTGTAGATAGGAAAGCCTGAAGTAATGCAGGTCTAGGACGTTTAACATTTTGTGAACATACGAGCATGGATCTGTTGCTGCCAAATATCATAATCAGGGCAAATCTGGGATTTGAACCCATGATCATAGGATTCTGGAACGCCTAAGGGACGCAACACTGCACAGATTGAGGAACTTTAGACGACTAGGTCATTACAATTAAAATCAGATATCTTAGTTCTCGCGACCGCTAAACAAAGATCTGAGGACGTCCCAATACGGGTCACGTCAGCACGGCCTTTAATCCAACCAATCAGAGCGTTGCTTACCAGGTGCCGTTGTACAATGTGATCTTAGCGCTAAGGTGATCGTAACTCTCATACCTTAACATAGACTTACGACAGCGGTAGCGAGAACAAAGATCAGATTTTAAAGAAATTGGTGTCATCAGTGGCCTTAAACATTCAGGGAAATCAGCTTGTCTGATGACAAAAATAAGAATGATGCGATGGTTCAGTTGTAAATTTCATTTGTAGCTCTAATTAATGGGGTTTGTTTTTCGTAAAATGAGCTTGAAATAACTTGCCCTTATATTCACCTATGGTCTTTTGTTTTTAATAAAAACTTGAGCTACAAACGCCAGGAACATTTTGTTTTCATTTGTAATTTAATATTAATTAATATAAAACGTTGATGATTGGGAAACATTTTACAGCGAGAACGTAATTACTGGACTCGAGATTTTCGGGATGAGGATAAAAAGTTGCAACATGACGCCGGAAAAAAATACAACAATATGTAAAAACAGTAATCAATGAGTTGAAGGAAAGAAAACATTAGACAAATGAAAGTAACGTGTAAGACACAAGTCCCTACGAAGCATACATACTACACAAGAAGTGTCACTAGAAAGGTTCATGTCAGCTTGTCGTTATTTCATGTATATACAATAGTCAATTCTCAATACATAAAGGGGTTAGAAGTGACTACGTTTCTAAGGTGCCACAAATAGTAGTAGTAGTAGTAGTAGTAGTAGTAGTAGTAGTCGCATCAGTGACAGTAATCTCTTATCACAAAGATATGTAGTTTATCGTGGATACTATCCGTTGTTGTTTCAATAATAATAATAATATTATTAGTAGTAGTAGTATCATCATTATTAATAATAATAATAATAATAATAATGATGATGATGATGATGATGATGATGACGACGTCGACGATGATGATGATGATGAGTGAATGAGTGAGTATGGTTTTACGCCGCTTTTAGCAATATTCCAGCAATATCACGGCGGGGGACACCAGAAATGGGCTTCACATATTGTACCCATGTCGGGAATCGAACCCAGGTCTTCGGCGTGACGAGCGAACGCTTTAACCACTAGGCTACCCGACCGCCCCTGATGATGATGATGATAATAATCATCATCATAATGAAGAAGGAGAAGAAGAATTTCGTTCATTTATTCATTCAGCCATCACCGATTCAGCCATGTCCAAGACATTTACATTATTTCAACATGCAAAACTTTCGTATCATACCCGAATTCCCTCGATGCGGAATGAGAGATTGACAGAGGAACTCATCTCATCTCTCCATCTCAGGTACCTAGCCTTGGTCACACCCCCTTTCTCCCTCTCCTCTGGCGTCGGTGCATCTGGGTCAAGATCAGTCATCTTCCTGTAAATGTCCTTGAAACAACCGGAAATGAAGAATAAAACACGACACGTGCAAAGGCTATACAGAGGTCAAAATATCCGGCTAATCACGTTTCTAGCCATGCGGAACTAATGCCCTTCTGACTGAAGCCTGATCGGACCCAACACGCGAAGAAAGTTTCATCATACCAGTGGCAACATTATTAATTACCTGTCACGTGTTTCGCGCAAATTCACATTCCGTCCCCCGTATCTTGGTATGGGAGAGATCAATCGATTCATATCCATTAAAACATACCTACACGTCAATCCACTATGCAATTCTGATCGAAGGTACTCCCACATGGGTCGGGAGATTTCTTCTGATTGGTCTGTCATTGAGGGATTTATTGCCAGTGAAACCATACACGGATAAAATTAATAGCAAGACGTAACGGTAACAGTGTATGACATTGTCAAGACGCTGTAACCGTTCAAGTATGACATTGTCAAGACGCTGTAACCGTTCAAGCATGGCATTGTCAAGACGCTGTAACCGTTCAAGCATGGCATTGTCAAGACTCTGTAACCGTTCAAGTATGACATTGACAAGACGCTGTAACCGTTCAAGTATGACATTGTCAAGACGCTGTAACCGTTCAAGTATGACATTGTCAAGACGCTGTAACCGTTAAAGCATCCCATCTATAGAACGGCGTAACCGTTAACCTATGACATTGACAACACGGCGTAACCGTTCAAGCATGACATTTACATAAAGGCGTAATCTTTGACCAGAGACCATATACCGGTATATGGTCTCTGCTTTGACGTATGACATTGACAATACGGCGTAACCGTTCAAGCACGACATTTACAAAAAGGTTTAACCGTTAAGGTGTGACATTGACAAAACGGCGTAATCGTTCAAGCATGACATTTACAGAAAGGCGTAACTGTAGAAGCATGACATTTACAGAACGGCCTAACCGTAGAAGCATGACATTTACAGAAAGGCGTAACTGTAGAAGAATGACATTTACAGAAAGGCGTAACTGTAGAAGCATGACATTTACAGAAAGGCGCAACTGTAGAAGCATGACATTTACAGAACGGCCTAACCGTAGAAGCATGACATTTACAGAAAGGCGTAACCGTAGAAGCATGACATTTGCAGAAAGGCGTAACCGTAGAGGCATGATATTTGCAGAAAGGCGTAACCGTAGAAGCATGACATTTACAGAAAGGCGTAACTGTAGAAGCATGACATTTGCAGAAAGGCGTAACCGTAGAGGCATGATATTTACAGAAAGGCGTAACCGTAGAAGCATGACATTTACAGAACGGCGTAACCGTAGAAGCATGACATTTACAGAACGGCGTAACCGTAAAAGCATGACATTTACAGAAAGGCGTAACCGTAGAAGCATGACATTTACAGAACGGCGTAACCGTAGAAGCATGACATTTACAGATCGGCGTAACCGTAGAAGCATGACATTTACAGAACGGCGTAACCGTAGAAGCATGACATTTACAGAAAGGCGTAACCGTAGAAGCATGACATTTACAGAAAGGCGTAACCGTAGAAGCATGACATTTACAGAAAGGCGTAACCGTAGAAGCATGACATTTACAGAACGGCGTAACCGTAGAAGCATGACATTTACAGAACGGCGTAACCGTAGAAGCATGACATTTACAGAACGGCGTAACCGTAGAAGCATGACATTTACAGAAAGGCGTAACCGTAGAAGCATGACATTTACAGAACGGCGTAACCGTAGAAGCATGACATTTACAGATCGGCGTAACCGTAGAAGCATGACATTTACAGAACGGCGTAACCGTAGAAGCATGACATTTACAGAAAGGCGTAACCGTAGAGGCACGACATTTACAGAAAGGCGTAACCGTAGAAGCATGACTTTTACAGAAAGGCGTAACCGTAAAAGCATGACATTTACAGAACGGCGTAACCGTAGAAGCATGACATTTACAGAACGGCGTAACCGTAGAAGCATGACATTTACAGAACGGCGTAACCGTAGAAGCACGACATTTACAGAAAGAACATAGCACTAACATGAAAGGGTCGAGACAAACACTGAAGACACGGCTATCCATAAAGGTATACACGTGATATTTAACTTACTGTTTTACTGGCGTGTAGTTTTATGGGTATATAACGTGTTCTCTTCGCTACATGACCGACGTGACGTACAGTTTCAACTCACACACTAACCCATAAGAGTTTCTATATCTTAATGTTCTTTCAACTTACTGAATGCCAGTCAAATACTTCATAACATTAACATGATACAAAATGTGTAGGTTCATTATTTCGATAGGTTGACCGGGTGTGTATTTCAGGCCTGCTCTTATTAAAAGAATGTGAACAAACTCAAAATCAGGATCTCAGTTCTAAACTCTAAGATCTAAGATCTGATTTAAATGAAATTGAAAGGTTAAAGATACCTTTCTAAATACTGGGTTTTCCCTGGCGTTCTTCAACTCCTCCTCATGATAAGTGCGGCAGCCCATCTTTACGTCCATGACACACGGGCAGGTGAACCCACTCAACAAGTCCTGCAGTTGGAGGTAAGCTAGGGACTGTCAAGGTTCCACTGATACTGCACATTTAAAATATAAAATTCTGAAAATTCTAATATTTTGCACCCAAAAATACCCGTCCTGGAAAAATAGTAGTGTTTCACTTTTGGAGTTATGAATTGAATACCAATGCAATTGCACATAACTTTAAAATATTTAGTAGATATTATTTTCACTCCCGACTTAAATACGAAAATAAGAAAAGAACTGCAGTGGTTAAAGTGTTTAATGGCACAGCGAAAACCTGGTTTCGAACCACCACCCATTCTTGGTTAAGGGCGGTCGGGTAGCCTAGTGGTTAAAGCGTTCGCTCGTCACGCCGAAGACCCGGGTTCGATTCCCGACATGGGTACAATGAGTGAAGCCTATTTCTGGTATCCCCCACCGTGATATTGCTGGAATATTGCTAAAAGCGGCGTATAACCATACTCACTCGCTCACTCACTCATTTTTGGTTGCTGGTACATTGCTAAAAGCGGCAGTGAACTAACTAGCTAGCTAACTAAGTCACTACCTAACTAACCCACCTTCTCACGCCGAAATGTCCTACAGAAATAATAGTGACGTTGCCATCCATGTCCTGCTCTTATTGGATACAAATTTGCAGTTCGCTAGAACTGGCTTACTTATCAACACGGAAGAAGGATACTCTCCCCTTGTTTTTGGACCTCCCCTCTATATTCCGGGGTGAAGTCTTTAAGGAGATCACACTGTATATTGACGTAACACTGTCGTTCCCGCTCCAACAGCTTCTTGAGGACAGTCTGGGATTCTCCTGCCTGGAAACTGCCTGGAATATACGTGTGAACAGCGTATTCACAAGTGCAATGTCAGAACATTGCACTTGTAAAGTAAAATTGAAGAGAATAACCAAACATTTGGCATAAATTTATTTTTTGTCTGCATCTTTCATAATTATTATTATTTGATAACTACCTTGGTGTCCAGCGAGCTGTGTCCACAACTTCTTGTTTTTGCCCACTCCCACCCATTTGGCCACACTAGTCACCACACTCCATGGATTCATCTGAAACAGTTACACGATGGGAGCTGAATGATCAGCTCATTAACTGACGGTCAAAAGCGTGAGTGAGTGAGTATGATTTTACGCCGCTTTTAGCAATATTCCAGCAATATCACGGCGGGGGACACCAGAAATGGGCTTCACACATTGTACCCATGTCGGGAATCGAACCCGGGTCTTCGGCGTGACGAGCGAACGCTGTAACTACTAGGCTACCCGACCGCCCCTCACGGTCAAAAGAAGGTATACAACCATGTTTGATAGTGGCTGCAAATTGAAACCTGCAAGAAACGGTCCATCTATGCTTATGTATTTGATAGGGGTATCATAGTTGTGTTTTGGACCCTACTTATCGGCCGTAATAGGCGACTATGCTTGTCGTAATAGGCGACTATGCTTGTCGTAATAGGCGACTATGCTTGTCGTAATAGGCGACTATGCTTGTCGTAATAGGCGACTATGCTTGTCGTAATAGGCGACTATGCTTGTCGTAATAGGCGACTATGCTTGTCGTAATAGGCGACTATGCTTGTCGTAATAGGCGACTATGCTTGTCGTAATAGGCGACTATGCTTGTCGTAATAGGCGACTATGCTTGTCGTAATAGGCGACTATGCTTGTCGTAAGAAGCATCTAACGGGACCGAGTGGTCAGGCTCGCTGACTTGGTTAATGCATGTCATCGTTACCCAGTTGCGTGGATCGATGCTCATGATGTCAATCACTGTATTGTCTGTTCCATACTCGATTGTTTACAGACCTCCGTCATATAACTGGAATATTGCTGAGTGCGGCGTTAAACAACAAACCAACAAACAATAGTCAGCATGTGCATGCAATATACTAGTTTTATCTGGTATGCACTTAAGATACCGGTTTTATATATATATGGCACAAATATCATAGATTCTATTATATTCAGAAGAAACGAACACGATTCTTCAAAACACCTTAACTACATTCGATACGAGATTCTTAGTACGTGTATTCAAAATGGTGTTTTATGAGTTACAAACATATGGTTGATAAGCACAGAGACCATATACCGATAGCCCTTGTTGAGAGCAACGTTTATAACATAATTAAAGTGACGAGACGGCAGACACCCTGTTGGAACATGCTCGGTGTTCATCTGCACTCTCTCGGCCGTAGCGTGGCAGCCATACCGCTCCATGGAGGCAGTGGTTCTTCTCACAAAAAATACGCAAAAAAAGGACAGGTGGTGAGGTGCATGCACATGTTGGATTGCCTGCTTGGACAAGTCCGGACTAATACCGGTTTTATAGTATCCCACTGAGATACCATGTCGCATGGATACCCCACTCAGACGCAATAAACTGACTCCGAGCCAGCCGACTAGCTAGAAACTGGCTTTTAAACCCTTAATGCCGATCGCCAGGCAGGGTAACAACAAGTACCATCTTTTTACGTGTTTTGGTATGAGGCTGCCGACGACAACATGTGCTCGAGCACCAATACCAGGACAGTTTATGCTTTTTGATCGTTTGAAAATATCTTTCATGTTCCAATTTAGAGGCCAGATGATATACGGTGCCCGTTTTCTTTCGAAATATATCACGGATCGGGAAATTATTTTTATCGTGTGAACGGTACGAAAATATAATTACAACAATAATAATGTTGCAGGTGTTGTATTCATCAGTTATTACAAATTTGCACGAGTGAGATTACAAGCACATGCTGCTCCACGTGCGTCATTGCCTCAACGTGCCGCTTAATGTGAACTGGATATGGGACATTTTTTGTTATGTGTCGTTGTGCCCCGGAGGCGTGGCCTACTTTGCTGTAAGTAGATTTGTTCCATTAGTACAATTTGACTGACCTGAGTCAACCACGTTTCTGGCAACCAGGGATGACTAGATTCAGCCTTCGTTAACCAGCGTTAATCAAGAGGAATTTAGGTGAGGTGAAGTGAAATTTGGTTTAACGTCGCGTCCAAGATTATTGCACTTATATAGCGACGTGCATGCACGTGTGTGTGTGTGTGTGTGTGTGTGTGTGTGTGTGTTTGTTGCTGCTTGTACTAGTCCGGACTGATGCCGATTTATAGTGCTAGCTCACTGAGATACCATGCCGCAGTTTAACATGAATACGCCACTCAGACACAGTATACTGACTCCGAGCCGACCAGTCCTTGTTTTAGCCCCTTAATGCCGAGCGCCAGACAGGGTAACAAGTATCATCTTTTAACGTCTTTTGGTATGACGCGGCTGGGGATCGAAGCCCGGACCTTCCGCTCTCCGGGCGGACGCTCTACCACAAGAAGAGGAATTTAGGACTTTCCAGAAACAAAACGCATAAAATGCAACCTTGCTTATAACATTGTTAGCCTGGACAAGGAGAAACACAAAAGCCATTGCAATAAAACACATCCGTGAGAGGTTAACAAGTTTTTCATTGCTTGACAGCACTGCTGTTGTGCCTTTACTATTTTATGCAAGTAAACCGACAAGAAAATTCTAAACAACGCGGACACCATCAAATGAGATGCAAAATAATCATCAAAGTTGCATTATTGATTCTTAAGTATTTATATCAACAACCGAAAGTTCATTTTTCTTGACGCATATGAGAATACATATACACTATCAATACCTGGTTTATTGTATTCATTAAAATGCTTATATTCATGATTGAATCAGTAAATGAAACTAATTAGCTTTAATGGTGGCGTCACTTGGGGTAACAAGAGTGCTGCACCCCAAGGGTTTAGAATGTACTGGCAGCTTAAGTATGACGTCAATTAGTTAACATGAGCGAAAATTGGTCAACCAAAGTTAACTAAGTTCACCTGGGTCATTCAGGGTTTTGAAATATACTCACACGCAAAAGTGAGTTTAGATGCAAATTATATATATCATATAAATAATCAACAGATGGCAATCGTTTGTTTAAAATTGACACACCATTGTCATTGACCCAGGTTCCATATGGCAAACATGGAACAGTAGATTTTCAAGATGAAGGTCATAAATGCTCAAAAACTTGTATGGCCACCATTAGAGTCCACAATTGACTGGCGTCGTTGTCTCATGAAAGTAATCAGATCCAGAATTGGAATGTTCACCAACTCTGTCTGCAGTGCTTGTGCCAACTGTCGGAGGTTCTGTGGTTGGTGCTGACGTGCTGGCAGTCGTTGATCCGGTGCATCACATAAATGTTCGATGGGGTTTTAATCTGGAGGCCTTGAGGGACACAGCAGGACCCGGATGTTGTGGTTCCTGAAAAAGTCTTTTGTCAGTCTTGCCGTGTGAGGTCGGGCGTTGTCTTGTTGGAAAATGACGTTCGCTTGTTGCCTAATGGGAAGGACGTGTGGCCATCCGTGTAACGATATGCCGTTAACTTCCCCAGAACTTGCACCAAGTCTGTTCTATCGGTGTCACTGCCATTGCCAAATCTGTCCATTTTCTGAAGGCAGTATCGTTCATAACGTTCTCCGTAACGCCTGTAACGCCCGCACGGTGAAGCATAAACGTGACTCGTCACTAAACCACACTTGCTTCCATCGCAGTTGTGGCCAAACTCTGTGACCTTGACGCCATCGACGTCGCAGCCTATGATGCAGGTCCGTCAAAATGACACTACGTTTTTGATATAAGTGGCGTAGCCGAATGAATCTGTCCTGCGCTCTAGTCGTGAAACATGGTCGACCGGATCTGGGAAGGTCACGTGTTGTCCGTGTGTCTGATAACGGTTCCACAGTCTTGTAATGGTGCTTGGTGATACGTGAAAAAAACTGGCTACAGGTGAAGATGATTTTCCTGTTTGCAGTCGGCCGGTGGCGTTTATGCGAAGGGCTTCCATCAGTCGTGGCATGTTTTCGCTGTTCACTTGATGTAAAATTGAGATGTCATTCAAATGAAAACCCAACGTTTTTATAGCCCAACACGTGATGTTGCACGTGCATGTGATGTTGGTGTGTTTCGGCGCCAGGCTCTCACGTGGTTGTGATACTGGATAATCGTATCAGTAGCCTATCTGCTATTGTAAAGGAGCGATAGTATAGCAAGGTAACGCTACGAGTATATTTTTTACCATGTCAGATACATAGGATCTTTCGTATATCAGTCACTCAAGAGGTCGCATAACTTTTATCACGCTATGAATTGATATTGATAACATCAAAGACTCCTTTGTCAACAGAGCGGTTTTACGCTGACTGACAATATTACATCAATATCAAGGCAGGGGCACCCAACATTCACACATTGAACCCATGTTAGAAATTGATCCCGGCGACGAGCGAACGCTTTAACCATGAGGCTATATCCCCTTTTTCAGTGTCATCTCACCAGTGCTACGGGTATACGCCGACGTGGAGATTCTGGGTAGGAATATGAGACCCAGCAACGTATGCTTGTTGGAAGAGGCGACTAAATGGATCGGTTGGTCATCCGCGGTGACTTGGCTGGTTGTGTGATATCGTACCCCGACGTTGCGGGACATGTACATAGCTTTGGTGTTTGCTTGTTTGCACATCTATATGACGGCGGTCTGTGAATAATCGAGTCTGGACCAGACAATCCAGAGCATCGATCCACGCAATTGGGATACGTTGACATTCGTCAACCAAGTCAGCGAGCCTGACGATCCGATCTCGTTAGTCGCCTCTTACAACCAGCATAGGTTTTAGAAGACCACTTCTACCCCAGATCTTCTCGTGTTTGTACATTGCTAATAACACCAATCACTTGTTTGTCTGGTCCACACTCGATTAAGTACAGACCGCGTGATATAGCACGGCTATTGCTGACTGTGGGGACAAACAAAAACAAACAAACAAACAAACAGACACTATATGCAGTTTCGGTTCAATTGACTGGACGGTGATTCTCACGGTTACAATTAAACTGATAACTTCATGCTGATAACCTCTTGACTGTCCTATATTTGAGCAGGGTTAACCGAGCCATCGTTCAAGTCAGGCAATGCATACAAACTGACCCGAAGCTATTTGCAGACTCTGACGACTGGCATTGCCCTAATATCTATCGGTGATGGGAGTCAATATTGCGATGGCAAGTAGCCAGCAGTAATTTGAGAGCAAACCTTTACCGTAAACTACGGTTATAAGGGACCACTAATTTTAATTTCCTTATAACCTTGGTTCGTTATGAGCATATACACAGCATTTATACAGCAAATGGACGGGAGCTAAAAGCAGTTCGTTATATCCGTCAATTCGTTATAAGCGTGTTCGTAATAAACGTAGTTTGCTGTAATTATATACTTGATAAATTCAAATTACAGAATCGGCCATTATATAGCTGTAAAAGTGCTGACAAATCATTCATTTATTAACCAACCGCTTGTTCAACTCTAAGCAACAGTTTAATCAGGCCTACCCGTGCCGGTCTAACGCATTTGGGGTAAGAAGTTGAGTTGGCTCATAATATAGAATATAGTGACAAGAGACAGACGTCTTGTCTACTTTTGCCGCTACGATACATGCACAACGTGTATGGGTACCTACACTGTGTATAGAACGGTATATGGATACGCAATATAAACTGTATATTTACCTTTCTGTTTTGTAAATGTAACGTGTGTCGTATAGAATGTGACACGCATGCACACACACAGAGACACATTCAAATTGATTGCAGAAAGTTTCATCTCTCTCTCTCTCTCTCTCTCTCTCTCTCTCTCTCTCTCTCTCTCTCTCTCTCTCTCTCAATATTCTATTCATCATCATGGCTGTGACGGAGTAAATCAGGCTGGACAGGCTACCTTTCACTATATGTATATCCGGCGGTGTCCTATGTACAAATTGACGTTTCCTGAAATACATGATTATCCGATGTCGTGAATTTGCATCAACTGGGGAGTATGCCGGTGACATGTGCTACTGTCGGAAGAGAGGTGGGTTAGTCAATATGTGGACAAAAGCGTTAGAATCAATATATAGATATCTCAGAATTTACTGCAAGGATGACAATACTTCTGCGTTACAGAGCCGTCAAACTTGAAACGTTGCCTGTCAACCCTGATTTATACGTCTCCGGGGACAAACTAGGCCACGGCATGCACGCCACACCTGTATCACTGTACGTAAAATAGTGGGTCAAAGTGAATGGTATTCATTGTTTGCTTCACGGAGGAAGGCTACAGTATGCAATAACTGCACAACAAGTTATACGTATTTTGATACATGAGTTAACAAGTCATACGTATTTTGATACAGGAGTTAACAAGTTATACGTATTTTGATACATGAGTTAACAAGTTATACGTATTATGATATATGAGTTAACAAGTTATACGTATTTTGATACAGGAGTTAACAAGTTATACGTATTTTGATACATGAGTTAACAAGTTATACGTATTTTGATAAATGAGTTAACAAGTTATACGTATTTTGATACATGAGTTAACAGGTTATACATATTTTGATACATGACTTAACAGGTTATACGTATTTTGATACATGAGTTAACAAGTTATACGTATTATGATACATGAGTTAACAAGTTATACGTATTTTGATACACGAGTTAACAAGTTATACGTATTTTGATACACGAGTTAACAAGTTATACGTATTTTGATACATGAGTTAACAAGTTATACGTATTTTGATACAGGAGTTAACAAGTTATACGTATTTTGATACATGAGTTAACAAGTTATACGTATTTTGATACACGAGTTAACAAGTTATACGTATTTTGATACATGAGTTAACAAGTCATACGTATTTTGATACAGGAGTTAACAAGTTATACGTATTTTGATACATGAGGTAACAGGTTATACGTATTTTGATACATGAGTTAACAGGTTATACGTATTTTGATACATGAGTTAACAAGTTATACGTATTATGATATATGGGTTAACAAGTTATACGTATTTTGATACATGAGTTAACAAGTTATACGTATCTTAATACAGGAGTTAACAAGTTATACGTATTTTGATACATGAGTTAACAAGTTATACGCATTTTGATACATGAGTTAACAAGTTATACGTATTTTGATACAGGAGTTAACAAGTTATACGTATTTTGATACATGAGTTAACAAGTTATACGTATTTTGATACATGAGTTAACAAGTTATACGTATTTTGATACATGAGTTAACAAGTTATACGTATTTTGACACATGTGTTCACAAGATGAGTACATCTCATGGTGAGATGTGGTGAGATCATATATTTTTTTAGGAATGTTTGACTCTCCGATGAATCTTTTGGCAAGCATATGTTGTGTATAATGCAGTATTATAGTGACAGGATGGTTGTTTGGTCTCTGTCAGCTCTAGTTCTGATGTACATGGCTATGCATTACGCCCTACACAAGTACGGAGGCGGGGCATCTGTGAGGCTGATTCTCGAATATTGCAGGGCAACTGAAACTTAACCCTGGGTCAATAACCGGTGTTAATTTTACTACAAATATCACAAGAGCAGCCGTGCACAATGCATGCGTAACTTGTCAATACAATTAACATAATTCTAACGATTAAACATTAGAGACTCTATTCAATGGGTTGAAGTTTGATATACGCTCATTGGTTTCATAGACCTTGTGCATATAGATGACATATCAAGTACCCAACAAGCGTGGTATTTAATGGAGTTTAATAAAACCGGTCTTAAATGTACCCGCAATGTACATGCACATCTACCTGCCTTGGTCCCCAGTCAAGTGGAATGTGACATGTACAGGCAATAAACATATATGACGTAACGCTGTATAGTTTGCCTATTGAATACCATGACATGGGATACACCTGCACAAGGTACAAACGAGTATCTATCTACCTGTTTACTTGGGGGAGCATCCAAGTCGATGTCCACGGGACCCTCCCAATCGCTGAGATCATCATCAGAACCACCTGTGCTCGCCATCTTAACTGCAGCTGTCACAGATCCAAATAACAGACTCGGCAACGTGCATCTACACATACACTTCACAAAGTACCTGAGTTACACTGCAACCAGTTGTATTGGCTATAAAGAACGGGACCGGGCTGTCACTATAAATACATATACCATCTCGCAATGTTGACAGTCGTAAATGTGGGCGGTGGCGTTGCGTCGTGCGGAACGGCGGCCAAGCGGAACATACAGCCCGGTCATGGACTTAGATGGTATCCTCCCATCAGTTATACAGGCCATTTTATCTGATTCTGATGCTTTACATCTCATTAAGCCGCAGTTCTTGGTACCAGAGCAAGTGGAATAAATACACCCTATAAAACATAGAAATCAACACTGGGTGTATAATTATAAACTACCTCTTTAGACGCGTATTCAGAAGTGTATGGAACTTACTGAAATGTAATTCTGTACGATTCGATCTACATGCGATATATTTTATAGAAGGTTTATTAAGTGGCATAAGCAGTTTGTTATTGATATTAGTTGATTTAAGGTTTGTAAGGTAATTCATCGGCAATTGATAAACAATTGCAAAGTTTACATGATCGGTCTTCTTCAGGGCTCAATGGGAAGATTGTGATAAGTTCTGAATTTCAAAATGGATAGGAAGTAGAAGATGGTATTAGCAGGTACATTTCGAAAGATGGCAATAATTTATAATATTTTTAGTAAAGTTCTTTTGAGACCTTCTTTAAATGTGGCCTTGATTTGAGTTTAACGCCGCTTTGAACAGCCGATTAACGCCGCTTTCAGAGCGTGTCATTTAAACATGGAAAGAAAACCCGAAGCGATGCAGGTCTCAGGCGTTTACCACTGACAAATATTCCTCTCATCACAAGGGATACATTTGGGAGGATAAACGTAAATCTGAATTTGGCGTTTCGCAGATATTCATGAGACAACCGACCACCCATTACGACAGCATCGCACGATGACCCCGCCATGTCTTGACTGATATTCCTTATTGTTGCCTTGTAGTCATAGTTACAGTTTCTGTGGCAAAACTGTGTCCCACCTATTTGGGAATAAGATCCCTATTATAACTTTAATTATTGGCTTAAAATCGCTGTGTGGGGTAAGCAGGGGAGATGATTGTTGTCACGTGCTGCTTTTAGCCGCAGCAGCGGTCTTAGAGTTACAATTTGTACCTGCTGTGCCAACATAGCTAGGAAACCATATTTGTCGTATTGGCCGAGGGAAAGATGATTGTGTATTCCGAAATCTCTCATTAATGGATGACTCGAGGACACACGTTCGAGTGTTTGATGGCAATACAAAGAACATGAAACATTATACAATCTATTTTTATATTTGATACAACCCAAAGATATTAAAATAAATTTGGCCTCGGCAGGTAAGCTGAGCTATTAATTGGAACTCTAAGAGGATAACGTTTAGAATCCATCTTTGACAACTTCCAGTAAAATTCGAACGGTGAGAATCATATACGACTCATGATAGACTATAATCGTTGTAAGATATTTACGTTCAATATGCTCAATATGTTCAATATGAAAATTTACAGCAGAGAGATGCAAATACTTATTACACAATACCAGAATGTACCTTTAAGCTATTAATGTCCCACAACTCGCTCTCAATTTAAGCACGTTGCCATCGCAGACAGGGAGAAGGGTTATCTCCCCTTGGAACCACTGACACTTCCGGGGTGCGCGACGAAAATTGTAAACTTGTTAGATTTCTTGTATCAGGATAACAGGATGAATATTTTCCCATTGATGTGAAATTGGGGTTATACTTTTTAGAAAAAGTTGATTTAGGTATATGTTTCTGTGCTGCTCCATATGTAGTAAATGTTGTAATATTCTGTAGCTCAAGATATCCAAAGTGTAATTGGGAGCTTACTCAGTTGCCTACATTATACCTCGGAGCCCGGATATTGCAGAAAAATTCAATCTTTTCCATCGCATATAAACTGCTGGGCAAAACAACTGCTGAGTATAATACACATTATGAATACAACACCCGGTGTCTTGACTGTAACTGCCGGGGAAAGGAAAGTATACACTTGGAAACTGAATTGACCAAAAAATTAGAAACGATATTTAAACGTTACTAGGCTGAAAATAGTCGCCGCAACACGGTAAAAGATCCAAATCACAACAGTGATACCTGTATCTAACACGTGACCATCGGGTAAGCGAATGACCTTGTTTGTTTCATTTTTAGCCACCATCAAACATGGACGTATACTTTCCTTTGCCCGAAGGTTTAGTTCGTGAAACGTGTTTCTGTAGCATCTAGTAGTTGGATGTAATTGATGAAAAGATAGTGTGGCTAGTAAACTAGTGGAACTTGTGAATCCGGCTCCAGTATGGACCCCCAAGTGTACGGCAGTGAGGTGAGCGGCGTGTGAAGGTTCTTTCCGGGATTGACTCCACTTATTATATTATAGGATCACCTGTGTGAGGAGGATACGTAATCGCCAAAGGCTCGGCAAATACCCATTAACTAAGACCCGGCTGATATTTCCCATATATAAAAACACTCGTGATAAATCCTCTATGTATACCATATATTTTCTCCATTAGCAACATAACATTAATATGATTCTTTTCCTTCTTCTTCTTCTTCTTCTCTTCATTCTTCTGCTGTTGTTTATTCTCCTCCTTCTTATCCCTTTCTTCTTCTTCTTCTTCTTCTTCTTCTTCTTCTGCTGTTTATTTTTCTTCTCCTTCTCTCCCTTCTCTTCATTCTTCTGCTGTTTATAATCCTCCTTCTTATCCCCTTTCTTCTTCTGCTGTTTATTTTTTCTTCTCCTTCTCTCCCTTCTCTTCATTCTTCTGCTGTTGTTTATTCTCCTCCTTCTTATCCCCTTTCTTCTTCTGCTGTTTATTTTTCTTCTCCTTCTCTCCTTCTCTTCATTCTTCTGCTGTTGTTTATTCTCCTCCTTCTTATCCCTTTCTTCTTCTGCTGTTTATTTTTCTTCTCCTTCTCTCCTTCTCTTCATTCTTCTGCTGTTGTTTATTCTCCTCCTTCTTATTCCTTTCTTCTTCTGCTGTTTATTTTTCTTCTCCCTCTTCCTCTCTTCATTCTTCTGCTGTTGTTTATTCTCCTCCTTCTTATCCCTTTTCTTCTTCTCCTGTTTATTTTTCTTCTCCTTCTCTCCCTTCTCTTCATTCTTCTACTGTTGTTTATTCTCCTCCTTCTTATCCCCTTTCTTCTTCTTCTTCTGCTGTTTATTTTTCTTCTCCTTCTCTCCCTTCTCTTCATTCTTCTGCTGTTGTTTATTCTCTTCCTTCTTATCCCTTTCTTCTTCTTCTGCTGTTTATTTTTCTTCTCCTTCTATCCCTTCTCTTCATTCTTCTGCTGTTGTTTCTACTCCTTCTTCACCTCCTCATCCTCCTTCTTCTTCTAACTAATCGGAAATTCCGAGCTCTTCAGTGCGTAATCATGACACGTCTTCTGTGTACAAGGTTTCACTCTTGACCTACCGCGACAGCTTTATTGGAAGGTCAAGTGTTGAACGTGTATGTCATTCATGCAATAATGCAACCCTTGATCGGTGCCCCCTCCATTATATAGTGGTGATAAATCTATAAGGGACTGTGTTTTCACTGCTGGGCGGTCATGCAGGGGTTGTGATCTGAGACAAAGATAAACAATATATACCCCACAGTCATAAAATAAACCTTATCAAACTTGTCCTTTTGACCTCTCCATCCCACGATTAGACCCTTGCATATCATACACTTGTATATTCTGTATTTGTTCGGTACCGCCATCATTTATTGTCATAACGATATTTCTTTTCAATACGCACTAAATTACACCATCTTGCAAGAAATGAACGTACACAGTCCTATGTGTATTGATGGGTGGAACACGCTCTCTAGACTGACATCTAGACTCTGAAATGAACATACTTTACAGAAAAAAACAGTTGTTAAATTATTTTTATAATATATAATAAGAGTGAGTGAGTGAGTTGGGTTTAACGCCGCTTTTAACAGTATTCCAGTTATATCACGGCGTGTCAGCTTAATGTGGGAGGAAGGCCCGAAGTGATGCAGGTCTCTGACGTTTACCACTTCGGTGAAACCCACGAGCACGGGTATGGTGTTGACAAACCTAGAAACATAACCGAGGCGAACCGGGATTCGAACCCACAATCATAGGTTTCTGGCGTGCCCAAGGGACGCAACTCTGCACAGCGAATCGCGGTGCCTTAGACGACTGGGCCACCCGTGCCCCCATATATGATAAGAAGGAGCCCAGAGACTTTCTTCATTCCCAATGGCCCTGAAACTGCAGTAATCTAGACTCTACCCACTATCATAGAGACCCCTGAAGATCCGGGGTACAATAGGTCTTCAGTAACCCATGATTGCCGTAAAAGGCGACTATGCTTGCCGTAAGAGGCGACTAACGGGATCGGGTGGTCAGCCTCGCTGACTTGTATCCCAATTGCGTAGATCGATGCTCATGACGTCAATCACTGGATTGTCTGGTCTAGACTCGATTATTTACAGCGTCATATAGCTGGAATAATGCCGAGTCCGGCGTTAAACAACAACAACAACAACAACAAAAAACGCTATTATAGCATGGGCTGTATTGGATATATATATAAAGATTGGATAGATTCAGGGTTTGTATGACAGACTGCAGGGTCCCGTTCCACAGATCCATCTTAGCGCTGCGACTATCGTGAGTCTATGTTAAAGTTAAGATCGGTTTGTGGAACGGTACCTCGTCCCCAGCAACCTATGCTGGTCGAAAGAGGCGACTCAGTGGAATGGTGCTCTAGCTCGGTTTGGGGGCGGTCGGGTAGCCTAGTGGTTAAAGCGTTCGCTCGTCACGCCGAAGACCCGGGTTCGATTCCCGACATGGGTACAATGTGTGAAGCCCATTTCTGGTGTCCCCCGCCGTGATATTGCTGAAATATTGCTAAAAGCGGCGTAAAACCGTACTCACTCACTCTAGCTCGGTTGATTGTGTGTCATCGAACCTCGACGTTGCTTTTAATATGAATCAATTGATTGTCTGACCTAGACGCGATTATTTACAGGTCGCAGTCACATAGATGGAATATTGATTAGTGCGGTGTAAAACAACAAACCAACGGTTATGCAATGACAGATTA